GTGGAGGGAGGGGGGTGGGGCGCACCCGCGGAGCGCAGCGTGCGGCAGTGCGGTGCCCTGCCGGCTGCCCCGCCAGCCGATTTGGCGCGACTGCAGGGCGTTCGCCTGGCGGCAGCTGTGGGTCGCTCTCGTGCGACGCACGGGGTCATGTGCTCCTCCGATAGTGTCCATTGCCGCCTTCCAATCTGACCCTGGATTTTGATTCGTCCCCTTTTTGATTCGTCCCCTTTTCAAACCAGCTGCATGTGACGCATTCCCCATCACCCCGCTCTGATCCCCAACCGGACCAGGTGGACCTGCCCGCGGCGGTGGGCGCGACTGGCCCCATCATCGACGTCAGCGGCACCCCCATCCTGCCCAAGGAGGAGCGCGAGAAGACGGTCACAGGCCGCGAGCTGGGGGCCCGCAAGAAGAAGGGCAGCCCCGAGCCCGACGCCGCGGCCGCGGCGCTGGCGGCGCAGCAGCAGCAGCAGCAGGGGAAGCGCAAGGGGTCCAAGTTTGCCGCGCGGAAGGCAAAGGAGGCGGCGGGCAAGGCGGCGGCGGCCGCGGCCGCATCGGGGCAGCAGCAGCAGCAGCAGCAGCCGGCGCAGCAGGCGCAGTCTGTGGCGGTGGAGGTGGTGGATGCGCCGTCTGTGCCCGACGCCCCCCCGTCCAAGAACTGACGTTCGCAGTGAGGCGGCGGCGGTCAAAGTGATCTTGACCACAAGGGGTCAGAGCAGCAGCTGTCTCTTAGGGCGGCCTGAGCGTGCGGTTTCTGGTGTTTGTAGAGCGGCATGCGGCGGCCCGCCGCGTCTCCCTTTCGATGTCGCGTGAACGTCACCTTTCGAACGCGTGTGCGGAGAGCGGGGCGGGCGCTTATTCCGCGCGCCAGCCCTTTCATTCCAGGGTTGTTTGATGGCTGCGCAGCGGCTGCGTCGTCGTGGCAATGGCCCCAGATTCTGGCCCACTTCTTATCCATCTTTGCCACGGCTGCGCAGTGTGCGGCATCTCGTTTGCTGTAAACCCAATGCATCATGGCGCGAATGTCACAAGCTTTGAGAGCACCATGGCGGTGTATTACCAAACCAATGCAGCCAAACAGACGCGACGCACGACACAATGGGCTGTGGAGTTTCAGAAAATTTAGTGGTCGTGACAACTGGATGCAGCCTGGCGGGCCGTACCAGAGGGGCTGCAGCCGCCGCAGGCGGCGAGTGAGCCAAGCAGTCGCATGGGGATCCCCCTCGCTGGCCCCCATCAGGGTGTTGTGGCAGGCGACCACCAGCCCTGCGCCTGACCAGCAACTCCAAGCAATGCTGGGACGCATGCACGTGGAATTGAGCGATCCCGCCATGCATGCGTCGGCTTGCCCTGTTCACAAGGCCCGCCCACCCCCGCTTTACTGTCCACTCAGCACCTTCAACACCAATGACGTCCGAGGCTTGCGCACGCACTCAAAGGTGCTGCACGCACCGGAACTGCAACCTGCAAGACCCGCTCAAATTCTGGCGGCTTGCCGCCCTCACCAGCACCCCTTGCGCCCTGGCCCCCCTTGGTGTCGGAAGCCGCACTCCCCTGCACCTCAGCGCGCACGCACGGCGCCCGCGGCCGTCTCGTGAGCCGCGCCTGCAGTGCCCCTCGCCGCCTCTGCGGCCGCCTGCTGCGCCTTTGAGGCCTGGGACACCCCCGACGCCCCCGCCTGCCTAGCACCCT